GGGGCGGGGTCTCGGACGTGGGGCCCCAGCCGGGGACACGCTGGGCCTGAAGTTTCAGAGGCCTGTGCCCGGGGACTCCAGAGCAGCCAAATTCAGAGGCTGGGGTGGAATTCTCATGTCTGTGGCAGAGTCCTGGGACCCTGGGCAGGTAGGGGCTGAGTTGCCTGTGTGTCCAGTAGGGTCCATCCTTGCTCTCTCGACCACCAAAGCTGTCCCAGGACACTGGGTTTTGAAAACAGGAAGCCAGGGAGGGTGGTGATGGGGCGCAGGTCCCGGCCCTGAGGCCTCGGCAGAAAGCTCGTCCTCTCAGTGCCTCAGTTTCCTTGTCTGCACCCACCCAGAGGGGCTGGGGTTTGGGATGTGAGCACTCAGTAGGTTCGGTTGGTGACTGCTGGAGACCGCAGGGAGGGGCACCGGGGACCCAGGCCCCTCCTCTGGAGCCCTGCTCTGCTCGCCAGGCGCTTGCCAGGCGGCTGCCCTCCATTAGCGGTGAGGCCCCGTGGCAGCCCAGCGTTGCTTTATGGTGTATTAAAAGTTTAATGCAAACCTGAGGCCTGAACCAGTCAGTGCCTCACCCAGTCCCCAGGGGACCTGGCACGCCCGAGCCGGGCAGCCTTGATGCAGACAGGCACCTTGACCCCCCAGGGGGCCACCTCCGGCCACTGCCCCTTGCTCTGCTCCTCAGCAAAGTCAGGGCATGAGCGGGTGGGCCGCGGGATGTGGCGACCTTCCCCCACCGCAGGCCGTAACCGGAGCCGGTGCTGTCATTGAAAAGCAAGGCCGCTGCTCTGCGGGCTGCTGTCCAGAGTGAGCCTCCTGCCCTCCCCTCACTCGCACAGCCTCTGCGAAGCAGCCCTGCTGGCTGGCCGTGTCCCTGATGGCCCATGTGTTCACGTGTGTTCATGCTGACTCACAGAGTCACCTGCCCGCCTTCCTGCCACACACCGTTCTGGGGGATGTGGCTGCAGGTGCCTCGCCCCAAACTCGGGAGCACCTTGACTTTTGGGATGCGTCCTTGCTGCCAGGCTGGCTTCTGCTGACATGCAGGGCTTGGCGGCCGGCCGTGGGGCTGCCACGGGGCTGGGCCCCCGACTGGGGGCAGGGGAGGTGGGGTGGTGAGCTCGGCTCCTTCTCCTGCTGCCAGAATGTTCCCGGTGCACCTGCCTCCCTCCTTCCCTGCTGTGGGTGTGTTTAATGGCTGTGCGTTTGCCGAGGTCCAGACCTCTTATTAAATTGGTAAAATTAAATCCTGCAAAATAATTTTATTTAATTTAATTTATCTCGCCTCCCTTTCCCTTGCTGGTGGTGAACCTGCAGAAATTAAACGCCACATTCCTGCGCCTTGCCACAGGAAGCCGTGAGCACAGGAGGGTGGGGAGCCGTGGGCTGGTCCTGCCGGGCGTTTGTGGGACTCTGACCCCCGCCAGGTCCCTCCGTCTTCTCGTCCTCTCAGGTGCCCACGTGCCTGCAGCTCCTGGGGCCAGTACCCCTGCACCCTTCTTGTAGGGATGTATGCTGCCTGGGGGGGCGGCGGGGGGGAGGCTGGGGCCTGGGAGGACCTCTGGCTGACCACCCATAACCCCAGGGCCTCGATATCCTAGCTGTCCAGAGGGGGGGGTCCACGGAAAAGAGACCCCCGCCCTGGCCGCCCACACTTTCTCATTCTGGGGGAGGTTTCAGGGTCTGTGAGGGGCGCCGCCCCTAAAGATGGCACAGTTGGGGGTGTGTGTGCTGGACTCTGGCTTTGTAGTGTCAGCAAGGGTTTTCCAAAGGGGGCTCCATTCTGAAGGGTGTTCTGAGGGAGAGGGTTCCATGGTGCACTTGCTTTGAGGATGGTTGAGGTGAACAAAGTTAGGGACCTCTGATATTCTGCTTCCTGACCTTCCGTAAGCGAGCATGCATGCGAGTCTCACTGCAGAGGGAAACGGAGAAGGGGGCCTTGCTTGGGAAGCACGGTGGGGAAGGGAAGTGGAAGGGGAGAAGGTGGTCATGGCGAGGCTGGGCCCCACCGGGCAGGGAAGGGCAGGCGCTGCCTCCCTTCCTCGGCAGACGGCCATCCCCACCGCCCCCAGCCCGCTCAGCCCCTGGCCCTCTCCTCCCTGGCCGCCACACAAGGGTCGGCCCTGGGCATGTAAACCAAGCCTTTATTTTATTCTTTTCTCCTAAAGTTCAGCTTTGTTCCTGCCCCAGCCGAGGCTTCTAAGAAAGCAACCTAAAACCAGCTCATGTTGGGCTCCCATGGGCCGGGCCGTGGGGCGCCAGCCTCGCCTGCACAGGTGGCATGAGGACACGGCGGCAACAGCACCAGTTGTCCTCGATCCCCGGGGACCCAGACAGCCTCGTCACCTTCCAGGGGAATAATGGTCCCTTCTCTGGATGAGTGGTCTGGCCCCAGCCCTGGGACACAGGCCCCTGAAATGCAGGTGCAGGCTGAGGCTGAGGCCGGGGGCTGGGGGGGCTGACGAGATGCCCACCTGGACCATTGCCCTCCTGTGCAGGTCACCGCAGGTAACAGCTTCCCAGGGAGGAGAGTGTGCTAGGCTCTAGCCGAGGATTTTACTAATATCCTCTCCCTCGACTCTATGGTAACCACCCAAGAGTACCCCTGACCCTGATTGACAGATGAGCATCTCAGGTGGGGTGTCATTTGCTTGAGGCCACGGGATGCGGATATGACGTGGCTGGGGCCGGGCCTGGCATGTGGGGGTGGTGCCCAGTGGGACCGAGGACCCACTGTTGGAAGAGACAGGCCCTGAGAGTTTGTGCTGTCCCCTGCTCTCAGCTTAGGACCCAGCCACTGGCCTGCCCAGCCCTGGGCAGTCGGGACCCTCTGGGGACTGGCGCAGTGCACCTTTGCCGGCCTTCGCCCACCATGGCCAGGCTAGGTTACCACCTGTCATGACACGAGAGCCCTTGTCTGGCTCTGATGACCCCATTTCGCTCTCTGGGAGGCTCCGGTAGTGGGTCTGTGTGGGGGGCCCCTCTGCTGCTGCTCTCCCCAGCCGTGTCCAGCATCAGGTTAAATGCTCACTAGGCCTTGGGCTGACCCACCCACCCCACCCTTAAGGAGCTCATGAGTGCACCTGGTGGGCTTCCCGGAGAAGGTGGCAATGAAGCAGGGACCTGGTGGCGGTGGTCGCTCTGTATCAGGGAGGGCTGGATGCGCACAGTGGAGGCCAGAGCTCCTGCAGGGGCAGAGGGGGGCTGTGTCCTGAGGCGCTCCCCTCCCCCATCACCGGTCCGGCTTTCCCTAGGCTTCTGGGTGTCCCCTGTTTCCCCATGTTGGCTCTGCCTGTGCCCCCGTCTGGCCCTCTTTGTGGCTGGGTGGGTACATGGAGCTGTGCCCCCAACCCCCACCCTGAGGCCCCAGCCCCTCATCGTGGGGCCACAGAGCTTCTCCTAGGCCCAGGATGGCACAGCCAGTCTGGGGGGCCTGACACAGCGCTTCTGGCAGGAACTCTGCAGGGCCAGGCCCCCTGAGTCCGGCTAAAGCCAGGCTGGGCAGGCCACCTGGGGCACGAGGCGTGCAGGCATAGGCCTGTGTGCATGTGGCAGCCTCCCACGGGCAGTGAGAACAAGACACTGAGGGGTGTGACCCGAGGGTGCTGTGTGCAAGGGCCACTGCTCTGAAGCCCGTCACACTGGTGCCCAGGCTGGCCCGGTGGCACCTCTGGGCTCACGCTGCTTCCATCTCATCCGGGTACAGGCGAGCGAGGCTCTGAGGTTTGGACTCGCTTGACCAACCGTGGGTGAGGGCCAAGCCAGGATTTGAAGCCTGGATGGTGCCAAGATGGTGGCCACAGCATGTTGGGGGTTCGAGCAGGGGCCTGGAGCAGGGGGAGGTCCTGCTAAGACCCCGTCTCCTCACCCACACAGTCCCCGAGTCCGCAGAGCAGCCCCACGGGGACCATTTATGACAATGTCCTAATCACAGTCGTTGTCTTGTGTCACTCAGCCAGTGGTCATCAGCCCCATGTAGGAGGTACAAGGCTGCCTCTAGGTGCCTCTGCTGGCCCTGCTCCGGCAGTCCCCCTCACATGGTTCCCTTCCTGCTCCCCATTCAGCGGCTTTTTATCTGGATCTGGTCTGGGAAGCTGAGCCTATGGTGTACAATGGGGCGGTACAGGTGGCGCCCTCTGGTACCCCAGCCTACGCGCTGCTCCAGCCACCACGGTTAATTCTCGGGTGATGGCTGTGACGCTGCCACTGCAGGGGCCTAGACCTCAGGCCATCTCCAGTCTTGACCTTGTCCCTTCTCGGGGGTTGCATATTCTCTTCCTTAGGGCTACAGTTGGTGGCAGGTAAGGAAACCGAGGCTGGGCAGGACAGTGGTTTGCCCCAGGGCCCACGAAATCCAGCAGGTGGCAGCTTGAGCCTAACCCAGGGCGCCTGTCCTCTAGCCCAGGACTGGCCGTGTCACAGCATGCCCTCCCCCCAGGAAAGGCTCCGTGGCGCTTGGACAGTGGGGGCCTGCTCAGGCCGCCCAGCCCATCTCTTCCCTGGGTGGGGGTAGTGCCTTTGCTGCCACCTCTGCTGGGGCAGGTCCATCAGGGGCTGGGGCTCATTCTTTGTGGGGGGCCCGACCCCAGTTGTGCCAAAAAGTTGATCTTTTTCAAATGCGCTGACCTGGGCTGGGGTTGGGAGACCAGGTGCCTATGCTGCGCTGCGCGAGTCGGTGGGGGTGTTGGGGCTAGACTAGCTGGGCCTGCTGGGCCCCTAGGGAGAAGCAGGAAGGTGGGCTCTGGGGCCCTGCAGGGTGCTGGGGTCAAGGGGCTCCGGCCTTGGCCTCCCCACCCGTCCAGGGGCCTCTTTGTCCTGGCCCCTTGCGCTCCCGTTTCTGCCTCGTTTTCTCATCTCCCCCCTTTTCCCTCTCTCCCGGGGTCCCCTGGTCACCCAGCTTCGGTCAGGGCTGCCCCACCCCTGGCCCCCTCGCCAGGGGCTCTGCTAGCTCTGCAGACTGTTTGGAATAGTTTAAATGCTTTGACACCCGGGCTGTGCTGGATGGCAGGGCGGCAGTTTACTGGGCAATTCATATGCAAAACTGCACTATAAATTTCCAGGCTGTCTCAGTTGCCGTGGCACCACGAAGCATTTCTCCACGTACAGTACAGTATTTCTGCCATCTTTGTTTGCATTGCAGTGAGTCATCAAAAGTCTGTCTTGTACCAACACCCGGAGCCGCGCATTCCTCTGGCACCAACACTCCACTGTTTTTAAAGCCGGGGCTGGGAGCTGGCATTCGCTTCGGCTCCCAAATCAAAGGCAGCTATTCATTCGCGGGAGCTGCCTGGATGTCCGTCTGCATCCGGCCTCTTCATTTAGATGCCGTGCGCTGCCCGGGAGAGCCGGGCTGGGTGCAGCTGAGCTGCGGCCGCCCAGCCCAGCGCCGACTCGCCCCCCTCCCCCGCTCCCCTCGTCCTCCTCCTCTCCCGGCTCCTCGCGCCCTCCCCGCCCCAAGGGCTCCCGCGCCGTTTGCTGCATTCCCGGAGCAGCTGGCGGCTGCGGGCTGCCGGCGTGCGGGCGAGCCTGCCCCTGCCAGGCTGAGCGGGCAGCGCCGGGGCCACCAGCGGAAGCGGCCGAAGGTAGGTCTCCCCCGCCGGCCGGTGCCGCCCGCGGGGCCCGCAACTTCTCCGCAGCGGGGGCGCTGCGGGCCCTCCCCCGCGCGGCCGCCCACCTGCCCAACTCCGCCGCCGGCCCGGGCGCTCCGCCCTCGCTCTGCCCGCCCCGCGCTGGCCGGCGGCGCCTCTGCGGCCGCCGGCACTTTCCTCCCGCGGGACAGAGCGGCCCTTTGTGCGGGCTCCGGCTGCGCGGAGTTGAGCCGGCGCCTCCGCCGGCCCGTCGGTTCCGGCCCCCCTTCCCGGAACCGGGCTTCCGATCAACAGTGCTGGGGCCGGGTCCCCAGCCCTGGGGCGCCCTGGCTGGTCCGTCCTCCCCGGTCTCCCCGTGACCCCTGTAGTCACCTGAGCTGGGAACCAGCCAGCGGGGATTGGCTGGGGTTGGAAGCTGTTGGGGGTGTTGGGGGGGCTGTGCAAGTGGGGCTGCGACTGGCTCCCAGCTGGTCCCGCAGCGGGGTCCCTGACGCCAGCTTGGGGACCTGGGGAGCCAGCGCAGCTCAGAGCCGCTCTGGCCCTGGCGGTCTCCTCCCAGGACAGGGAGGGGAGCAGAGGAGGCACGCGGGAGGGGGGGGTGTGCTGCGGAGCCCGTGGACTCCCCCAGCTTCAGCTCACTTCCCTGGGCGCCCCTACTCCTTGCCCCCCTGTGGCCCTCTGTGCTGCTCTGAGGAAAAAGAGGAAAACAAACCGGAAACCAAAAGCTTCGGGAAAGACCTCCCACCAGACCCCCTGCTGCACCCTGCGTGCGCAGAGGGTGGGGGGCTGCACTGTCCCTCTGGGTTCTGGCCCCTCCCAGGGGAGAGGCGGTGAGGGGCCCCTCTGCTGCTAACTTTTTCCTGGGAAAAGAGTTGTGCGGAGCGGACCCTGTTCCCATTTCTGTCCCTGCTGAGGTGCAGGCCTCTGTTCTGTCTACTGCTGAGATGGGTGTCCCCCGCTGGAGGGCTCAGTCTCTCTCCTGGGGAGCTCTGGGGGCAGCCCAGTGGTGGTGTGGGGGGCATATCCCCCAGAGGGAACACGGCTCAGGGCTTGTAGTGTCCTGTGCGGCTCTGACCCTTCCCTCAGCCAGGGTCCCCTGTGAGTGAGGGCACCCCAAGACCTCTGGATAGTTCTGGGTGAAGGGAGTCTGGGGGTGACTTGGTGGGGGGGCATGGTGCACTGGGGTCAAGCGCAGCCCTTTGGCCTTTCCCAGGGGTCCGTTTCGGGCTTGGCTCTTCATGGGTGGGCGCTGGATGTCCAGGAGGCTGACCGGGCGCCCCCGTGCCCTCTCTCCTGCAGATGTGCCCGCTCGGGCCGCTCCCGTGCTGAGAGTCTGAGGCGAGCCCGCGAGCGCCTGGCCGCCATGTCACAGATGTTGCACATTGAGATCCCCAACTTTGGGAACACCGTGCTCGGCTGCCTCAACGAGCAGCGCCTGCTGGGCCTCTACTGCGATGTGTCCATCGTGGTCAAGGGCCAGGCCTTCAAGGCCCACCGGGCCGTCCTGGCCGCCAGCAGCCTCTACTTCCGCGACCTGTTCAGTGGCAACAGCAAGAGCGCCTTCGAGCTGCCGGGCACGGTGCCGCCCGCCTGCTTCCAGCAGATCCTGTCCTTCTGCTACACGGGCAGGCTGACCATGGCAGCCAGCGAGCAGCTCGTGGTCATGTACACGGCCGGCTTCCTGCAGATCCAGCACATCGTGGAGCGCGGCACAGACCTCATGTTCAAGGTGAGCTCGCCCCACTGCGACTCGCAGACCGCCATGATGGAGGACGCCAGCTCCGAGCCCCAGAGCCCCTGCAACCAGCTGCAGCCAGCCGCCCCCGCCCCCCCCTACGTCGTGTCCCCCTCCGTGCCCATCCCGCTGCTGACCCGCGTGAAGCACGAAGCCACGGAGCTGCCGCCAGCCGCTGGCCCGGGCCTGGCCCCCAAGCGCCCACTGGAGTCAGGGCCCCGGGATGGCACCGCGGTGGCGGGCGCTGCAGTGGTGGCCGGCACGGCCCCTCTCAAGCTGCCCCGGGTCTCCTACTACGGGGTGCCCAGCCTGGCCACCCTCATCCCCAGCATCCAGCAGGTGCCCTACTCCCAGGGGGAGCGGACCAGCCCTGGGGCCAGCAGCCTGCCCACCACCGACAGCCCCACCTCCTACCACAACGAGGAGGACGAGGAGGACGATGAAGCCTACGACACCATGGTGGAGGAGCAGTACGGCCAGATGTACATCAAGGCCACCGGTGGCTACGCAGGTAACTCGGCAGGCTGGTCCCACCCGCCCCGTGGCCGCTCGCTTACCAGCAGGCATGGATAAACCTCCAGGCCCTGTGTGGGCCCCGAGGCAACCTGCCCCCCACCCCGTGTCGCTCACACCCAGCTGGGAAGTTGGGCAGGTGGGGTCTGGAGGTGTGCAGGGGAGCCCCCCACCCAGACTGGATGAGCTAGCGGGAGAGGAGGTCTGAGGCGGGAAGGGTCCTGGGTCAGCCTTGCAGGGCCTCAGCTAAGGACTTTAAACTTGATCCTGGATGAAACGAGAGGCCACGGGGAAGCGTTTCGCTGAGCGGAACCCGCTGGAAACTCCAGTGTAGCACATGCAGGACGGGCCTGTCTCCCTTTGCACAGATGGAGGCGGAGGGCCTCAGTGGCCCAGGGACCTGCCCGAGGGCTCACAGGGTCCTGTGTGACCCAGACGGGTCCCCCACCTGCTCGAGGCCTCGGGGTCTCTGCCCGTGAAGTGCCAGGCTCCGTGGGCGCCTTCAGCCCTTTCTCCACCACACGGCCTTGCCTCTCAGTGAGGCCATAGAGTCCCCTGTACCCATCACATTTGCTGCCACCTCCCTGGGCCCAGCACCAAGGGACAGGCCAAGAAGTGCCTGCTGAGCTGAATGAGCTCCCCCCCAGGTTAAGGGGGGGCTCCCCCATGGGGGACCTACAAACCCGAGATGCCCTCATTTGAGATGCCTGGCACTGCAGACTGCGTCACAGTCCCCAGAGACGGTTCAGGATTTGTTGGGCAGAGGGTCCCGTACTTGGGGCCCCAGATCGGGTGTCCCCCTGCCTTCTGTGTTCCCCGAAAACTGGCTGTGCGCCTGGGCCCGCTGCCTGCGCTGATTTGCATGCAGGGCCCGTATCCAGTGGACTGGATCCGGACACATGGTGCCAGCGGGAAGTGACGTCCCTGAGCTGGGGCCCCCGTGGCAGTGGGGGGGCTCTTTCCTCACCTTTGTCCCCCTGTGTCCTCATGCCCAGATGGGGCAGACACTGTCACCTCTCCTCTTCCCCCCTCATCTGTGCTGGGTAGCAGGGCCAGAGGGAGCCGAGCTTGGTAACAGCTGGGTCCCCAGGAGAGCCTTGGCCTCTGGACCCAACCTGTGTTCCTCTCAGCTGCAGGGAAGGCACTGCCCTGCCGACCCCCCCACCACCACCACCAGCCCAGGCATTCTGGGGGATGACTTTTTCTCCCGAAGTCATTACTTTAAATGCATGTTGTCGCATTTGCATGAATTCCACAGGGTGCTAGCACGCAGACCTCCTCCACTGGACTTGGTTTTTCCTTTCAGTGGCGGAGGGAAGGCTTTGGTGTTCCCAGAACCAGGAAACCTGCGAGCAATGGCTGGGCCTTCCGAGGGCCTACTGGACTCAGGCCTTGCAGGGGCCCCCCCACCCGGGAACCTGCCTGTGTGCTGACAGACACCTGAGAGGCGGGGAGAGGGCCTCCTGGAGCCCCAGACTGTGCAGCTCCCAAGGGTCTCCTTCCCCGGGAGTACAGGTCACGCGGGCCCAGGGTAGATACTGTAGTCTCTGAGGGGTCCCACCCTCGTGCTGCCAGCTGGACGGGGCTCGGTGGAGGGGTCAGGGCAGAATCTTTCAAGGGCCCAGGGGTGGGGGCTGCCCACTGGTGGCCCATGGTGGTGCGTGTCTCCCGAGGGTCCTCCCTGCACGGCGCCCACACCAGCCAGTGGGGCCTTGGGCCACGGCATGTTTGGGACACCAAGAAATGGCTAGGGTGTCAGGATTGCTGGGAGCGGGTGCAGGCGCATCTCAGTGCACCTGCCTCTCCGGCTGGACGAGCCTTGAGCTCTCTCCTCACCTGGACAGTTGTGGCCCACCTGTGTCCTTGGGTTTCCCTAGGAGCCAACGGGACAGTGGCCGTGGAAAGGCCAGGGTGGGGGCTGGAGGCTGAGCTGTGCCACTGCCCTGACCGTGCCTGGGGCTTGTCGCCAGCCCCTTCCCCACCAGTACTCAGACCGGTGCTGTGTCCCACTAAGGCCAGGGCACAGGCTCACTCATGCCATGTGGACAAGAGGGAGTCCCTTGGCCTCCACCTCCCGCCGGTGTTGGAGGTAGGACGTGATGGTGGGAAAAACAGACACTGGAAAGGGAGTGGATGCGGGGGAGAGGGCGTGAGCCGGGTGGGGCCCTGGGCCCTGTCTCCACCTGGCCAGGGATACTAGTCTGGGTTTTCTCCTCGGTGAGCCCATAAGTGGGGCAGGGAGGGGGGGTGTGACTTCTTGGTTAAAATCTAGGTTATTGGCAGTGACGTTGCTGGCATCACTGGGCGACGGGCATGCTGGGAAGAGGGTTGTGGGGGAGGGGCCGTGGGGGCGATCAGGCAGAGAGGGGCCTGTCCCCAAGGGCTGGCTGCCCCCGGGCACTGGTCCTTGTACCCCAGGCTCCCTCCAGGCCAGGTCAGGGCACGCCTTCATATGCCCTCGGGTGACCCCAGCCTGGGGCCCCGACGAAGGCTGGGCAGAGCCTTCTTTGGGCTGGTGGAACCTGGAACGTTCTGAGGTGCACCCTGTGGCATAAGGACACTCAGGGGTCACTTCTCCTTTCTTGCCTCAGTTTCCCCATCTGCCAAGGGAGAAGTTGGCCTGAGTGACCTTCAGGACTCTGACCAACACCCCATGTGCAGGAACCTCTCTGCACCCTCACCCTCATTGAGAACTGTTGGCAGCTCCCATGAGGTCAGCCTCTTGTTTTGGAAATCAAGGAATTAAATTTCATAGATAAAGTTCATTGACCCTCCAGCAGCCCGTACCCCGTTTCCCGCCTGTTTCTGTCCATGCATCTCCATTCTTCCTGAGTCCCATGTCTTTGTCCGTCGGTGGAGGCCCTTAGAGAAGGACAGTGGGTCACTTCTAATTTGTTGCTGTCAGGAATGATGCCACCAGGAAGGCCCTGACTGTGGGGCCAGGTCTCACTTCCTGCCCCACCTCACAGTGGGGTTCCCTCCACCCCCCACTGGTGCGGGCTTGGCCAGGTCCCCTCTGGGGCTCGGAGCAGTACCTTGCTCCAGTTCCTAGGGGCTCGAGAGCTGGTGGGTGTCTTCAGGTCAAGGCCAAGGGGCCGTGGGGATCGGTGTTGGTTCCAGGGTGGGTGGGCACAGAGGGCACCCCGGGGCAGTAAGGTGTACACCTGTGCCCACAGGCTGGGAGCAGTGGTGGCTGAGATGGGTGTGGCCCCTGCCCTCACATTGGGAGAGACAGACAGCAAACAGGACCCTGAACAAGTATTTAATCATGGCTGGGTGGCTAATGTCACCCCAGCTGAGGGTGGCAACAAGGCAGGCCCTCCCCGGTTCTGTGTGTGGAAGGGCCCCTCCGGTGTCTGACCGCCCTCCGAGCCCCCGCACCCTGGGCCAGGGTTCCTGTGGTGCCTCCGCAACCGGCGCGGCCCCTCCCAACTCGGGCAGATGTTTGCTCATCTGGCAAGTGTCACTCCCTGTGGATGTCGGAGACAAAGGCACACTGCCTCCGCCTTCGTATTTACACGCCAGCCACGCGCTGCCACATTAACTCTTTCAGAGGGGGGACCACCTGGGGTGCTGTGCTGGTGCTCCAGGACACTCCTGGTGGCCTGTGAGCTGGTGGCCCTGTGTAATCTCGCTCCTCCTTTCCCTTGGGGAATGGCCAGCTTCCGGGTCAGCCCACTGTCCCTTGTGAGCCACTGTGCGGGCGGGGGACTTGGGCCTGTCCCTGAGCTGCAGGTCCCCCTCCATGAGACAGGCCTGTGAGCTGTGGTGACGCTGGGACCTCTGGAAAGTTTGAGCCTCGCCCAGCTGGGACATGGGACAGACACTGGGAGTGGGTCCTGGCACTTGGCAGCACATCTGTCCCTGGCCCGCCCGTGTTCCCCTGTGCTCTGTGGGGAGGAGGACGGGAGGGGGTGGGGTGCATGCAAGCCCTGCCCCGGCCAGGCCCTTCCCAGTGCCACCTACGAAGTCAGTGCTGCTGCTGTCCCATCTTACAGATGGGGACTAAGGTTCAGAGGGGACCTGGCCCACAGCTGTGGGCCCCTCCAGCAGGGCTCCACATAGAAAGGAGAAGAAGGCTGATTTGTTCTGCAAATCCCATTCCCCACCACCCTACACTGACTCCTGGCCTGGGCCTGGGCCTGGGGTGTTGGCACCATCAGAGCCCCACCCAAGCCCTGGTGGGGCCTTGGAGCCGGGTCTGTTTGGCCCTGGCTTGGGTAGCGTGGGATCCAAGTGGAGGCGGGGCGTTCCCTCCCCTCTAAGGCTTACCCTGCAGCTCCCGTGGGCCAAGGAGGTGCCAGTCCTGGTGTGTCTGTCCCACCAAGCATCCAGGGGGCTGACCGCAGGCTACCCTGAGGGCCAGCCGGGCACTGCAGTGCCATCTGGGCTGATCCCTGAGAGCCTCCAGGGCTGGGCTGCTGTCTCCCTGGCTCGCCGGGCCTCAGCTTCTGCTAGCGCAGCGCGGGTGCCGGGCTTAGTTTCCGTGCCCATCACGTGTAGCCCTCAAACCCCTGCGTGCCCTGAGAGCTCCTCTTAAACCAGTTTCATTGAGGTGGAGCTCGTGTACGGTGATGGAAGGGGTGGCATGTGGGCCCATTCGAGCCTGGGTGGAGGCACCACTGGCAGTGAGAGGGAGAGCAGCCCCATCACCCCAGCGGCCGTCATGCCCCGGCCCCATCCTCCTTCCCGGCCCAGGCAGCCTGGGTCTGCTTCCCGTCATGCTGGGCCCTTCGGCTGTTCTAGAACGTCCCATAAGCAGAGTCTGGCTTCTTTCATCAGCAGAATGCGTCTGCGACGCTGTGCCGTGTGGCTCAGACCTGCCTTTTTTCTCCCTCTTTTGTTTATGAAAGTGTTTATATGCAAAAAAAAAAAAAAAAGGACCAATTTCAAGTGTGCGGGTGATAACTTCGGTAACTGTAATCAAAATCAATCAGTCAAGACACAGAACACTTACTCCCCTAAAACGTTTCCCTGCCCGCCCTGCCTGCCACCCAC